CTGCCCGGGGGTCAGGAAATAGGTGAGCGTGGGTGAACGGCCAGGTGTTGGGAGAGTTACTCCTTTTTTTATAGCACAACCCCCCAAATCCTGGAGGCCCAGTCCAAAAAACTCTGAGAAGTAGCCCCCCCCCCGGCTACTGCTGTCATCATCCCAATCCCTGCCATTGAGCTGAATGATGAGGCCGATTCCGTCTCTCGGGGAAAAGCTGGAAGGAAGAGGCCGGCAGGTTTTCAAGGATGGGGAACGCAGAGGTGGGCAATGGTCATGAAACGGACACCTTTGGGCCAAGGGTGGAAAAAAGATTCCAACCAAGATCTTCCGCCAAGGTGCCTGTCTTGGCTAAGATGCCCGCAGAAACAAGGCTGGTTTCCATCTCTGGAGGCAGCCTGCCGACTCCCCTAACCATACCCCCAAAGGTTGGCCTTTCTCCTCCGCCCTGGCCTTCCCTCCTAGCTCAGGGCCCCCATATAGGCCCTCTGGGGATGTACCTGGCAGCTGTCAATGCCTCCTTGCTCGTACCCGGCGCAAAGGTTGTTGTAGTGGATCCGGTTGTTGTACCAGTTGCTGCTGTTGCACTTCTCGAGAGGGATGAGGTTCACTCTGGCCTCCTGCAGGATGTCGGCCGTCTGGCTTGCCTCTGGAAACAGAAGGACGCCTTTCAGGAGGCCCAGGGTTCAGAGCAAAAAAAAACAAAACACAACATCACAGTGGGCAGCCGGAGACCTGAGCCGTTGGAAGGCAAGAGAGATTGGAGAGAAGCCCTTTGGAAATGGCCTCTGACTCCCCGTGGGCCAGCGAGGATCCAACTGGCTCAGGAATTTGGGCGCATCAGTCGGAAATGTAATGTTTGGAGATTCTGACACAGAGAGATAAAGAGGTCAGTTGGTAAACAGAGGGAGGGAGGGAAGAGGGCAGGCTTCAGCACCTTGTATTTTTCTTAAGGCACTGACATTTAGTGGTACATAAATAGCAGGGCACTTTCAAGCTGTTAACAGGGGCAGGCCCGCAGGGGCTGGTCCTCCATCATGCCAACCCGCAGATCCACATATGCCTCAAAGCCAGTTCTAGGAGCTTCTGTAACGAAGACTCCATTGTTCACGTTTTCCTTCTTCTTGCCCTCTTGCCCTACCTCTGAACAAATTTCCTGTTTCCACCTTTTACGCTTAGTAACATGCTTCCAGAGTAATGAGTAATAATACTGTAATTGCATGCCATCAGATCAATTCAGACTTAGGGCAATGCTTTTCATGCTTTCCCAGGTAAAGAATAGTCAGAAGTGGTTTCCCATTTCCTTCTTCCTGGGGTTTCCCTGGGACTGTGCAGCTTGCCCAAGGCCATCCAGGCTGGCTTTTCCTTCAGGAGGTACAGTGGGGGATTGAACTCCCAACCTTTGGCTCTGCAGCCAGAGACCTCACTCACTGTGTCTAATATACTGTAATAACCATGTGCCACCAAGTCAATTCTGGCTTATGGTGACCCTTTGGAGGGTTTTCAAGGTAGAGAATCCTCAGAAGGTTGTTTGTCATCCCCTTCTTCTGGGGGCTGTTCTGGGACTGTGCAGCTTGCCCAAGGCCACCCAGGCTGGCTCTTCCTCCTGGAGGCACAGTGAAAAATCAGATGCCCAATGTCTGGCTCTGCCGCCAGATACCCAACTCGCTGAGCTATCCAGCCCTAGAGTAATTGCTCTTGCTTGAAAAATCAAAAACCTCCACAGTAGCCTTTGCTGCCCCCTCTTAGGATAAATATCAGCTATTCATTCATCTCACTCTGGACCTTCCTCAGCCCTGGCGCATGCTGGTGGATGCTCTGGTCCTGCTCTGCCCGTTCAAAGACTATGAAAGCTCACTTTTGAAGATAGGCTATGTTGCTCGGGTACCCCCCCCTCCTGGGCTCAGGTTAGCTTGGTGGGGCTAGTGCTGGGTGGAAGAATTGCTGTTTTTTTCTACAATGAAAGCCACTGCATGAGGGTGCTAAGCATTTACACCCTAATTAAGACATCCTCACCCACCCACGGACACAGACTTAAGGCATATGCCTCCCACCCCCTCCTGTCTGCTTTCGTGGTCAAGCAAGGCATCTGGAGAAGAACGATTTCCATGGGAGCCACATGTGTTACTCAGATGTAGGAAGAAGAAGGCCTGTTGCTGGCCCCTTTTGGGGCCTGAACTTTCAGTGCCTGGGCAGAAGCCCCGGTTCCCTCGAATCACCTGAGAAAGGGGGGCTGTGATCCAGGAAAGCGCACGTAGAGTAAGACTTGTTGATCTTTAAGAGGTCAAGGAGATGCTTGGCTCCCCACCTCCTCTTATCTGTGGCCATTTCGAGGATGTGAAGTCAAGCAATGCCTGGGGAAAACACAAGCCCCCCCTCCACCCCCAAAGGAAAAGTCTCCCTCAAGAAGAGTCCTCTTGATATGGTCCTATTGCCCTTAAATGCTGAAATTCATTCCGTGGCCCCATGGAAAATCCCCGGGGAGGTAGAGCTGGTACGACCACGCCTTAAATATCTCACTCAACTTGACAATTCTATGAGGGTCACCCTAAGTCAGATCTGACCTGAAAGCACACAATGACAGTAGCCGGAGGATTGCCATGGTGTGACTCCTTCACGTCCAAAATAAATATGCTTGGGTTTTTTTTTTAATAGGCAGAAATGAGGGCAAAAACTCTGCCGTGATCAAAATGTGTTGGTTCTACCAGTGGCCAGAGAAACATTGCTTTGGAACACAGTTTTCGTGTCAGGGTGGGAATCTTGCTCAATTTACTTTAATTTACTCAGAGTTTAGGGGTAGAAGGGCTGTCAATTTGCTAGTAACATGAAGTGGTTTAAGAAGAGAGGCACTTGACAATACTGGCAAATTAATCTCTCTTCCACAGCTCCATGGAGGGGATGAGGAAGTGAAAAGAAAATGTGTTCAAGTGTGTGGAAAGGCAGAGGATATTCACAGCAATGCACTGAAGAAGGCCTAGAAGACTAATGGAAAGCAAACGAGTTGCAGGTCGGCCCAGCCTGATGTCACTTTGCCTGCTGTCTTCTAGGTCTTTCAAGTGATGGAACAAGTATTTTCTTCCCTTACACATCCTTTTTTTAAAAAGTGTTTCCATGCTCCCTCCACAGAGCTGAGGAAGTGTTCAATTTGCCCATATAGTGAAGCAGCTCTTTCTTCTTAAGCCACTTCACAATATTAGCAAATTAGAGGAAAGACTTGCTATTGGTCCATTCCCAGTGGAAACCAACCAAAAAAGACCAATCCTTTCCACACCAAAAAAAAAAAAAGGAATAAAGAAAAATGAAAAAGAAAAGAAAAGGAGAAGCCTCAGAAAAGGTGCAGGTAGGAACGCATCAGGCACAATTTGGTTCACTCCAGCGAAGTGAAAAGAAGTGAACCAACCCGACTTCACTGTGGCCTCCCTTTGACTTCCTTTGCATCTGCTCCTGGGTGGGCTGCTTGCCAGCTGGGATGTATGGTTTTAAAAGCCCCCATCGACTGTCTTCCAGACAGAGTGGGCCAAAAAAGGCAAATTTCCCCAGAGCCCCATGACTGAGCCCCCACCCCACGCCAAATATTAGTTCATAAGCAAACACCTGAGACCATCCCAGGGCAAAAAAAAGAGGATCCACCGATTCATTATTCTCTGTACATAGAATGTCAATTGGGTTGGCGAATCACTCGTCATCATGTCCTGGAAATGGTTCCAGTAGGCCACCTATTTTAAGCACTAAATGATTCATTACCGATGGTAATAAAAGGGGGTTACTTGACATTGCAAACTTGTGCTTTTCTCTGCTTTTAATTTATTTTAAAGAATCCTGTACTTTCCAAGATAACAAGCAACAACTTGTATGCTCCTTGGAGGCTGCTTTGCCTGAATCTCTAGCAATCTGGAATTTGAAGTTATTCAGAAATATTATCATCGCTGAATACTGCATGGATGCTATGTTCATTATGCTAGCTTTCCGTGTATTTTCTTTTTCAGGGAGGGATGCCTGGGGACAGCCCCGAGCCCTTTGGGTCCTGGGTCCCAGGAAACACCTCGGCAGCTCTGGGTTTGAAGCTGCCCCCATCTCGCATCCCCATGCCCAAAAGAGAAATTTCCGCACTGCTGGAAGGATGAGGCAGCTCCCTTATAGATTTCCCCCTTTTTTCTTTTTGCATAAGCCCCCGGGGCTCTCACTTGCCACATTCGTCACTCCCCAGCCGCTGATGTAGCAGTGCGTCAACGACGAAACGTCCACGTCGCCCTCGGGCAAGCAGGCCAGCTGGATGTAGTCGGTGCAGTTGATGGGCTCGCTCAGCTCCATCAGGGCCACATCGTTCAGCTGCGTCCGGCTCTGGTACTGGGGGTGCTCCACCAGGGTCTTGATGCTGCGTGTCTGCATGTCGGGTCCAGGCTGAGAGAGCTGGGCAGCCCCAATCACCAGCTTCCAGTGCCGCAGAAACCTTTTTGAGGAGGAAGGAGCAAATGCTGAGAGGAAACTTAAGGCCCTCTTGCTCCCTCAGCAAAACTAAACAGCAGAGTTGCGTAGCAGCTTTCATTTCTGCTTCGCCCACCGTCAACCACCTTTTCCAATTCTTGGGTCTGTAGGTCCATGAGCCTGGTGCACCAACAAACATTTATATATTCGCGAAGTCTTTCACGGCTCGGATCTAATGGTTGTTCTGGGTTTTTCGGGCTCTTTGGCCGTGTTCTGAAGGTTGTTCTTCCTGATGTTTCACCAGTCTCTGTGGCCATCTCTTCAGAGGACAGCAACCTGTGCTCTGAGGACAGCAGAGCTTCAGATGCTTCAGAGGACAGCAACCAAAGCACAATTTGCTGTCCTCTGAAGATGCCCACGGCCACAGAGACGGGTGAAACGTCAGGAAGAACAACCTTCAGAACACGGCCAAAGAGCCCGAAAAACCCAGAACAACCATTAGATCC